GTCACGGCACACTAGTGTGCCACGGCACAGTGGTTGAAAAACACTGCTTTAGAGACTTCCTTACCTCAGAAAATAGCATGCCATGAATGGTTGAATCGCCCCCCCACCCCACTAACTTTGCACACAAAACTTTACAATCTGGCTTTGTACATTACAATATTGTCATAGAATCCAAATCAATCACGTGGGTCTTAATGTGGCTGGGTAATCTTGAAACTAGAGGTCCCAGCTGAGCTCCTGGAATGGCTTCCCCATAAAGGAGATCCCACAACATCTGTCCTGGTTTCCCTGGGCCAGTGTGCTTGTGAGAGGCCGATTACATGGGCGGGACCAGGAGGTATATTCCATAATACTCCAGGGTGAAGTGAGACCTGACAAACTCTGTAGCATTCTCAATTTAATAGTTTTCAACCCTTTGGCCTCATTCTCTTACCCAGAAAGCATTCCAAGCAGTAAATACTGAAAGGATCCCAAAGATAATCAGAAGAGAAAACAACGCTTTTGCCTGGCTTAGATCTAGTGTTTGAACATGCTTCATTCCAGTAAGTGTCACCTACTGATAGAAGGTGTTGGGAAAGTTAGTTTAAATAAAGAGTCACCTTCCCTCACAATCCGATCCCTAAGATATTCTCCAAAGGTTCATAGCCTGCCAAAGTCTTCTTAGCCTTAGAAGGTATGTTTCATATCTGACGTATGCTTATCATTAGTATTAATTTGAGCAAATTAAATGTTTCTCAATTCTATTCCAAGAAATAGAATTTGTATACCCTTAAAAAAAGGGTATACCTTTTTTTATACCTTAAAAAAAGTCTTTGACTTCAGTATCTAAAGAGATCGTAATTCTGAGTCATTTAGGATTGCAGTAAATTGGTGCAAGATGAGTGTTTGACCACTGTACTACTGTTTGGAGCTCACCTTAATAAGCTGAACTGTTCACACTTAATATCATCAATTTAGGACTACCAGATCCAAGGATCAGCAAAAAATGGGATAGCAACCAAGATGGGGCTAAGATGTAGAAAATCTTGTTGCCCTTTTAGGTAGGGCATTACCTAGAGTATAGTCAATTGAACAAAATGAAACAAAATTCTCAATGCTGTTGAGAATTTGCTTAGACAGAATCCTTCAGAAGAAAAAAAAAAGGAAATCGAGCCATCCTTAATTGATAGCGGTCATAAAAAAACTGGATTGTGTGTCAGAGGAAGGGACAGACAGGAGCTTTTTATATTGATATCCTCTTATTTTATACCTATTGGCAGCAGCACTATAGTACATACTTGCTATTAAAAGTACAGATTTTTTTCTGATTTTGGTCCATATCTGTATCCCTTTAAAAAAAGAGTACGAACATGATACATATTTCCTTTTCTTCCTTTCAACGTAGAAAATAAAGGCAGGTAGAATGTATTGTGATGGATATGGGTTGGAGTTTACCTTGTAGCAAACAAATAAACCCTGGTAACATAATCCCTCAAAGAGCAAGACTGAGATTATACAATATTTTTGTAGTAATGTGGATATGCAGATAAGTGATTTCCCATCTCGTTGCCTGTAACTTGTACTCAGGAATATGTTCCATTGATCAGGATTTAATTTTTATAATAAACATGATTAACTTTTTCAATTCCAAGTCTCTTTGTCTTTTATTTTAGTACTAGCTGTACCCGGCCATGCGTTGCTGTGGTCCAGTCTGGTTAAATGGAAACGAAAGAAAAGAGAAAGCGCAAGTTTCTAATATGTTTAATTTTACAATGCTTGTGGATATACAATATTTTTTGTTGTTCCATTGTCTGTGCAGATAAAGAGATTGTATGGATTGCCGACTCCAGAACATGCAACATATAATTGTCCATGTGAGAAACAATTTTCAATTGCTGGAAACATGTTGGACCGGGCACATTTACCAAAAGCATG